GATGCAATGCAAAGTTGGTGTGTCGGGCGTAAGTATTTTGACGACAAATACGTCGATTTTCAGGGCGGGGAAAGGAGGGGCTCGTTGCTGTTTGTGGGTGCTCGGGCAGGTCAGGTCAAGCAGGCACGCAGGTGCTCCCTCGATCCTTCCTTCCACCTCTGTGTGCTACCTATGCAAACCCAGTACCGTCAAGTACCTTTGGTGGAGAATTTTGTGCATACGTCGCATCGCTTAAAACCGCCTTGCGCATATCCGTAGGGTGCTGGGCTATTGTTCGCGTGTCGCGCCAGCCACGGCCCACGTCTCTCTCACTCATTAATACCATGACACCTTGGCTGAGGTGTTTTTATGCAACCTTGAGTGAAAATATGAAGTAGTGCCGCTTTATGCTTGGCGGGTCGCTTGCTCAAATCTTGTCTTGAGCTGGCTGTACTGTAGGTGTGAGGCAATGACGATAATTGGCCCATACCTGAGGTGCTTTGAACAAGTTGCCAAGGTACCTGAGTGACTGTCTCAAGCTCAAGACTGTCTCATGGTGAACAACTAGAACCTTGTGCCGAGCTCTGAGCTCTACGGATACCAGCACACCCAAGGACGCATCTACATCTACACGTCTGAAGAGCAAACACGCAACGGGACTGAGAACTCAGGGCAACCTTCCCTTGTGCCTTCCTCCGAGCTTGAAGCTGCTTCCGGCAAAAGCTCGGCCCGTACCGACACGACAGGCACACCAGATGGCATGCCCTCTTTCCTTTTCTGGAGGAGCGAATGGCCTCAAGCTGGCTTCTGTCTAGGAACCTAAGGCACGCTGGGCACACACCGCTATATCTAGCGCAAGAAGATGCATTTTCCATCATGAGAATGGCGCTTATCGCGCAACTGGACGTGCCAGATTTTAGGCCCCATCTCCGCCACATTAGTCAACCCGTAAATCATTTGCATCTTCCCAGCTGCTAGGCTCAATTGCAAAACCAAGTCAGAAGAAGTGACTATCTTAGCCCTCACATACACCATCATGTCATCAGCCGCATCCTGCAATACGTCAAAGCCATTGATGGCTCCTTGCGGCGGTGCGATTCCAACATGCTGAGGTTCAGGAACGCGGTCACGTCCTGAAGCACGAGTGAGGACGTTAGATGTAGCTCTACGGCTGATTTATGCGGCAAGATACTTTGCTCGCTCGGTACCTGAACTGGGAAATTTTCCAGGTTGCGATTGGCGCTGGCCTGAACTCCCCTGGGCGCCGCATTGGTCAGTCTGTGCTAACAGTACGAAGTCTCCCTGTCATTCAAGACAGACCATTCCCAGCCAAAACACCAACATGATACATCAGATGCGTTAGCCACATCCGTGCCAGCCTTTCCCGGTACAACACCAACACGCTGCGCAGGAGAGAGAGGCTGCGACAGACGTAGCAGAATCCACCTCTCATCCCCAAGTGAACTTTGGAGCCATCGTCAATTGGCATCCGCCACGACACGCGCCCAATACGAACCCAGGCCCGATCGCGCGTCTTCCCTTCGACGTCTCGGCAGTCGCATCGCTGCGGCGATTCGGGACCCTGCACATATCTTCATCATGGCCGCGCCGCCATCCACGTCCACGCCTACTGCGGCTGGCGCGACAGCCTCGTCCTCGGCATCAACCTCCGCGTCCGCTGCCAACGATCACGATGGCACTCCTCGCTCCGCCGCTACCAAGGCTCTCCCCGTACGAGACAAGGACTCCTTCAACAAGTTGCAGGTAGAGCGCTACGTGACGCGCGACTGGCACTACTCTGTCGCGATGAAGGACGCTCAGGAACGGTTCGAGAAGGACATGCAACAGACGAGAGACAAGATTGATGACTACAACCTCATCAAAACCCAACGCCTATATTTTCCTCCGAGCAAACTGTACGGCGAAGGATATCGTGGCTACGGCAACGGCTATACCGACATCGATCCCCGCATGCGAGCGCCCTTTCCTGCCCAAGTCATCTATCCGAGCCAGAAGCCGCGGCCGGGGAAGCGCCAGTCGCATCCGCTCAGGTGGAAAAAGAGAGAGTTGAAGAAGCAGGCGGAGCAACATGAGGAGCTCGTGCCGATACGCATAGACGTTGACTGGGAAAAGATAAAGCTTCGCGACACCTTCACATGGAACCTCCACGACAGGGTTATTCCAGGCGAGCTCTTTGCGCAGCACCTTGTTGAGGATCTGGGCATCCCTCTAGACGCACAGCACAAACCCGTCTTGGATCAGGTCACGTTACAAATGCGCGACCAGCTCAACGACTTCTACCCCCTAGTCTTCTCCGAAGAAGACGCGCTCGACCCGGAGCTGCCATATTCTGCTTATAAGAATGACGAGATGAGGATATTGATCAAGCTCAACGTTACCATTGGCGGCGTGACCTTGGTCGACCAGTTTGAGTGGGATATCAATAATCCACTCAACTCCCCAGAGGAATTTGCCGCCTCAATGACTCGCGACATGTCACTGTCCGGCGAGTTCACCACCGCAATTGCTCACTGCATTCGGGAGCAGTGCCAACTCTTCACTCGGAGTCTGTACAGCGTTGGACATCCCTTCGACGGCAGACCGGTCGAAGACCCCGATCTCATTGCCGCCTTCCTGCCGTCTCCGCTGCCATCTGTATTCAGACCGCAGCAGCAGGCGAAGGAGTATGCGCCGTATCTTTACGAGCTCAGTGACGCTGACTTGGAACGCAATGAGGTCATCTTCTCTCGGGAACAGAGACGGCAGAAGCGATCTATTAACCGACGCGGTGGCCCTCAACTGCCGGACCTCAAGGAACGGCAGCGGACAATCAGGACGCTGCTCGTCTCGTCCGTGCTTCCAGGTGCTGCGCCTAATATGGAAGAGAGCACGTTGTACAAGCGTGTGGCCGGCGCGCCACCCACCACCCGGAAGAGGCCAGGAGCACGCGATGGCGAGGTTTCCGATTCCGACGATAGTGAAGACTCAGGACCGGACTCGCCAGGCGTGTCTCAGCTTGGCGGCACGGCCAGGACGAGAGGTCTTCGGGGCGCCGCGAGTGCTGCTCAGCAACGCATCACGAATCTCGGCCGCTCCGAAACGCCTGAAGCGAGCATCGTCCATCATCACGAGACTCGCAGAAACCTTGGCCGCTCCCTTCGCGATACTCGCGATGAGACTGAAGAGCCTACACAACTTATTGTTACACTGAAGGTTGGCAAGGACAAGCTGAGGAGACTTCTCCAGAACCCAAGAGCGAGGTTCACTCCGAGTGGCTCTCAGACACCGTCAACACCCGCACACACTCGCATACCTAGCGCGGCCGCGGCTGCAGCAACCTCCATGCCTCCGCCGTCTACGCCGGCCTCGAATGGCCAGGCTCTTCCTGCTCAACTTGGCACTCCTTTGCCTCAAGGCCAGATTGGTCGACAACCTGCTCCGCCGCCTGTTGCCGGTCAACCGCCACCACCTGCTGTAAGTCATGGGTATCTTGGACTTCAACTAGGAAAGGGAACTGACATGCTTGATAGCCCCCGCCGCCAGAATGGCTAAAGAACTGTTTGCAGCAACTAAAGCAAACGTACACCTTTGATAACTTTGAGGGCATGATGAAGTACTCAGCCATCAATCCTGACACAGAGATGCCGATATCAGTACCAGCAGGGTCACAGCCTCCCGAAGGCGCCAGATGGATGTTCCTCCCCCGTATCCGTTGTCTTGACTGCCCAGGCAAGCTGTACACACCTGGGCCGGAAATGACGGCAGGCAACTTCGAGGTTCACTTGCGCAATAAGCAACATCGTCAAAAGGTGGATGCTAGAGAAGGCAGAGACACGTCAGCTGGAACGACTTAAGGCGATTACATTCCGGCGTGAAGCCCTGAGCGGTATTTATGCCGAGCAATGTCAAGGCTCGAGCCGAGCTTTCTGGAAGGTGCAGCCATTTCTACCTGGAGTTATTGGCATCGGCACCGAGTCAACCATTTGAGGATGACCCCGTCACGGCATTACACTCGGATAGCAAGCCTGACTGCTGGTCATCATTCCCAGCACCTGGGAGGTCCTCAAAATATAAGGCAACCTTGAACTAAGGACGATGGCGTTGCCAAATCAGCACACTCGGTATTGTACAAGAGACCAGTCCATTTCCATTTCGTCAATGGGTTGTAGAAGAAAAAAGAAGCGATATCATTATCACTAGCGGTGGAATGGATAGATGGGAATAAGGGGAGGTCAGAACGCGTTTCTTGCCGATTTTACAGATTTAGGAGTTCAGACTCTGCTCGTGAGGCAGGGTCGGAATGGCCGGAGTTCCGATTGGAAGTGTTTTATTAGGATACGACTTGGAAGAGAGAGAAGACGAAGACGGGCTTCAAAGGCAAGGCTATTGTGGGGAGGTGTGACAGCAGTGAAAGAGGTCAGCAATAGTGACCTTGGTACAGAACCTTACTGGACAGGGGCTTCAGAGTCTCCTGGTAGTAAGAGTAATACCACAAGAAAGCTTCAAATGTCTACGTTTCCTCGCTTCTCAGCTACGTGTGTATGGATCAAAATCATGGACAGACACCGACACATGGAAGGGGGTTCACCGACAGTGTAGGCCTTGCTCATCCACCTTGATGAGAGTACGTCACAAATCTAGGAGGCTGATCAAACTTTACTATTAAATGACTGGCTATTTGCTAAGGCTAAATGATGTACGCAAAGGTACGTATTTCCCAGTGGCCTTTAGCCATTTCAACTACCAACAGGTGCCCATAATAGCCCGGATCGTTGGGATACATTCGTCCTCCGAGTGATTTCTTGGGGGACTCGACGACTTCAGCCAGTGTAACGAACAAACTACTAAATCAAACTTTTCCACCCAACGACATAGGAACACAAGAGAAATCATACGTCTCTTCAGTGAGGCGTTTTAGCCCCCCCCCCCCCCCCTGCGAAAGAAACTGAGGTGAACATTGGTTGTCGTCCAAGTTCTTCATCTTTCGAAGGAGGCCCGAGAGAAAGACATCAGCCCCGTACTTAGATGTGATCGGGGAGTACCTTCGGCGGATTCGGCGTCGGGTGATCCTCTACGGGCTCTTCCTCGAAGTGGGGGTGGTCGGGGTGGTAGGGGTGCTTCGCCATCGCCTCCTCCTTCTCCTTCTTCTTCTTCTCCTCCTCCTCCTTCTCCTTGTCGTGCTCGTCGTGGTGGGGGTGGGCGTGGTGGCCGCCGTGAGGGTGGTCGTGGTGTTGCATCTCCTCGTCCTCCTTGGACTTCTTGGACTTGGTGTCCTTGGCCTTGGGCTCGTCGGCCTTGGGCTGGTCGGGCTTGGGTTGCTCAGCCTTGGGTTGATCGGGCTTGGGCTGCTCACCCGCGGGCTCCTTGCCCTTGGGTTCCTTAGCCGCGGGCTGCTCGACCGCGATCGCCTTTTCCTTTCCCTTGGGCTCCTTAGCCGCGGGTGGCTCATCCTCTACCTTGGGCTTCTGGTACTCAACCTTGGGCTTCGGCTGCTCGACTTTGGGCTGCTCGACCTTGGGCTGCTCGACCTTGGGCTGCTCGACCTTGGGCTGCTCGACCTTGGGCTGCTCGACCTTGGGCTGCTCGACCTTGGGCTGCTCGACCTTGGGCTGCTCAACCTTGGGCTTCTCAACCTTGGGCTGGGTAGCAACGGGCCCCTTAGCCGCGGGCTCCTTGCCGAGATGCTTGCGGAAGGGGTGAGGCACGAGAGGGCGGGCAAGGCGACCGAACTTGGGGGGCCAAAGAAGGGAAGAGGAAGCCTCGGAGTTCTCCTCGGGGGCATGCACCAAAAAAAAGCCGCTCTCACCGAGCTTGAAGCCCAGCTCCATGAGCTGCTCGTCGGTGTATCCGAGGCTCTCCTTGAGGATGTCCGCCATCTTGGCCGTGTTGACGCGGATCTCGTCTTCGGTCGCGGGATCCTCGCTGACGGGATCCTCCTCCTTCGAGGCAGCGGCGTCGACGTTGGCTGTGGGCGTCGCGGTCGGGGCAGGGCTGCCCTTCTTCTCAAAGTCGGCGACCAAGAATTCCTTGCGGCCGACGGTCCTGTCCATGGACTCCTCGATCCAGCCGGCCTTGGACGGGTTGATCTTGTACTCTTCGAGGTAGAAGCGGACGCAGTAGCCGATGGCGCCGGCGTATTCGTCCGGGCTCTCGTACCAGCCTGGTGCGCGGCGCTTCTCGGCGTTGTACTCCGTGCACCACGCCCTGCGGCGGGCGATCATGGCCTCGGTCGGGCCGGAGCCGGAGTACGGCATGGGCGGGGCGACGGGGGCGGTGATGGTCGCGGCGGCGGTGGCGGGCTCCGTGCTGGTGGTGGTGATGGTGGTGAAGGAGGAGGCGCTGGCCAGGGCGAGGGTGCCCGTGGCGGCGAGGAGGGTCTTGGCGGCGACCATGTTGTGATCGATGTGAATAATCTTGAATTAGAGAGTAACGTTAGTATCTGGGTTACAAATGTAAGGTATTCTATGATGTATACATACCTAGAGCAGATGGGTACAGAGACCTAAATGTTGATGTTTTCGATGTAAGGTCAAGTATCTTAAGTCAGTTGGTAGTGTTAGTGTGATTGACTTATGAGTGTGAGGTAGTCCTTGATGTATACTTACCTAGCTGATTGGTATAGAGACCTAGCGAGCTGATGGTTGTAGAGGAAGAAAGAGAGACAGACCAGATTGAATCAGAAGAGCGGATTTTATACACATCCCCACGCAGAGGTCGCAGAGGTTCCTATTCCTACTTCTTCATCTACGGCGCCATATGCCGCTGTTGAGCCTTGAACAAGTCCTATAAAAAAGTTAATATTCGCCTCTACACGTTTACACAAGGTGGTCTAATGGGTATCATAGTTGCCGGCTGGAGGACATCGGTAGAGACGGGGGTTCTCTTGTGGTCAAGAACCACTCCGACCTAGACGCCAAGGTCAGAGTAAGCTCATAAACTTGCCAGCGTGATCATCATTTTCATGTGGAGGAGGAAGCTTGAGAGTGTACATCCGGAAAGTTTACGGTGATCCTCCTGATGCTTCACGTATTGAGCGACGTAGGTTCAAACCCGAGCCGCATCGTCCATACATATCCGTTAGTCTACCTCAGCATACAGAAGAAGCGCCTTCAAAGTCACGAGATAGCGAGCCTTGACTGGACAGGGTGTTTGCACTCAAGATGTTACGCGATATCAATGCTTCACTGAGCTCTACCGCGTCTGCCCCACATGAGCTCTCTCAAGCTCCCATCCGGGGCTGTGGTGCTCGAAAAACCGGCTAGTACCAAAACCCTTCCACCTCTTGCCGTGTGTGTACGCGCGACAGATATCAGTCCTGGTCTGCCTCCGAATGTGACCCTTGCGGCGCGTCTTGGGACGCAACCCTACTCACCTGCCTCCGGACGCCAGACTTGGCGACGGGACAAAAGGCGACTCGAGCGGCACATGATGCAGAACAAGCTTTCCTTGGCTGATGGTGGCTTTTGATAAACGTGGTCACTTTAGGAATCTCAAGGTCATCTACACCCGTAGAGTTGCAGACTTTCACGCCACGATATCATGCAGGTCTTTTTTTCTTTGCAAACATTGCTTCAACATGGGCCGTGGACACGTCAAAAGAGTGCTTCTCAATCAAGGTTTCTCGTCAGACCAGCATGCCCTAACCACAGAATAACGTAATCCCCTTTTCTTGTCCCATGTTCATGTTCGTGTGGGGGTGCGTAGGCTTTAAACTCCATACAGCCTAAATCTCCCGTGCATTCAGATTTCCCCAAATCAACGTCTACAGCTTATACGATGGGATCGGAGGGTGCTGTCCGAACAAATGCGACGTAGATAAATAAGCTTCCCCCTTCACCCCCTTGAACATCCCTGGCTAGACGGTCCGTCCGGAGTGTGTTTATATTACTCGTGACCTATTCGTGCCTGAAGCATTACCCCCTTTGTTTGCTATAGTTCGCCGACCTACTATATTCGATGTCGTGATATTTCCCCCGTCCCGGGTTGCCGTATAGGGCTCAGTCTGTGAATGATATAAAAGTGGTCAGCCTGTCGGGCGACTTTTGGGATAATTTTGGTATCGCCGGCCAAGCATCACTCGTTCCAAAATCCCCTCAACCAAGTCCAACCGCCCAAGATGAAGGTCACCGCCCTCCTCACTCTCGTGCCCCTAACCTCCGCCAAAATCCTCTGGGACGGCCGCTTCAACGACCTCAACACCTCGTCCGACCTCAACAAGTGGTCCTGGTCCAACCAAGTCGGGCCCTACCAGTACTACATCCACGGGTCCGGCGACGTGACCAAATACGTGAACCTCTCGCCGTCCTACAAGAACCCGGCCGACACGGCGTCGAAGCAAGGCGTCAAGATCACGCTCGACAGCACGGCCTACTGGAACGGGCAGAACATGCGGCGCACCGAGCTCATCCCGCAGACTAAAGCCGCCATCAACTCGGGTAAGGTGTGGTACCACTTCAGCATCTCGCGCAAGGACACCAACGCGCCGAGCATCTTCCGCGAGCACCAGATTGCGTTTTTCGAGAGCCACTTCACCGAGCTCAAGAGCGGGTGGATCAGTGGCGAGTCGGCGACGAATAACACGAACCTGCAGTTCATGGTGCAGCAGAAGAGTTTGTGGAAGACGGAGTGGAAGCCGGATGTGTGGCACAATGTCGCCTACGAGATTGTGAGTTTGACTCTTAAGCCCCTTTGTTTCTTGAGTATTGGGGAGTGAGGAAAGTCCCCCACGTCTCGAGTAGAAATATGAACTTACACAAATGTGTTATAGAACTTCTCCAGCGGAAGCGTCGGCTTCTGGCACTCTGAGGGCAGTGCCCCTCTGCAGCAGGTCGTGGCTCCCGTCTCGGCCTCGACGTCGTCCAACGGCGCGGACTGGCATCTGGGCGTTCTCGAGCTTCCCCGTGATGGATACGCCGACACCAATGAAGATTTCTACTTCTCTGGCGTCTATGTGGAGGACACCGCTATCACGACCTCTGTCACTGGACCTGGTGAGTCTACAGTGTGAGAAACCTTGTGAGTTGAGTGAAATTGACACGGATGTGAGCAGCCGCCTGAGAGAAATTTCATCTCACCAAGAGAGTAGGAGTAGGGTCAGGCTCAAGGGGAGGTCAGACAAGACGGCAACATCGTATACACTTCACCCATTCTTCAGTACATATCACTCGTTCACGTTCACGCATATAAGGTTGAAAAATCAGTATTCTTTGGTTTCCATGGCAATCTTCTTTCTAGAAACCAATTTGAGATCTGCTTCTTCGTAGCTTCTCCCGCCAAAACATCCGCCCACCTATGTTTCCAGACTAACTGTCTCGTGTACCCGTGGAGTTTAGAACGTGTGAAAGTCGTCGCTGTTTACTTCTTGCCTTCAGTAAGAACTCTTGCACGTCTTCGTCACCATAGTTGTCGGCACGGTAGTGTCGTTGTCAACAGCTGTAGGAGGCGCCTGGCAGGCTCCGAGAGAGGTACGTGTCATGCCAGGAATGGGACCGAGAGAAGGGTCGTAGCCAGTGACACCAGCCCAGTACATGCAATACTGGGTGTTGCTGTCACAATACTCGTACTCGCAGTTGACCGAGGGAGTAGGCGCCAAGGTGATGAGAATTTTGTTGATAGTATCGCGCTTTCGATTTCCAGCCTGGGTAGGAACGATGCTGCACTTGCCAATGGAGGTAACGGTCTCGCCAGGAATCGGGCCTTCAGTAGGATCCCAGCCAGTGATACCAGCCCAGTAGGCACAAAGAGAGGTGCTATCCTGACACCATTCGTGGTTGCAATCAATAGTGGTAGTAGGGATCGCCGAACTCGTGGGGACGGAGTCTGCTCTGACGTTGTCCTTGATGGGGGAGACGACGAGGGTGCCTTGGGGCAACAAGGATCTCAAATGAGTGGCCCTGGAAGCGGTTCCAGTGAGAGTTATGAAGTCGGTCTGGGGTGTGGCGATAGACTGAGTGTAAGTAGCGTGACTGGCAACGTAATTGTCGTGGATGCCAGCTACAAGACCGGCGCCGGCCAGCAAGAGCACCGTGGAAACGGTGAGGAAGATGACAAAGTCACGCATCGTGAATATTGAAGCGACTGCGTTGGACTTGGTGAAGAAGGCTAGATGTTTGGTCAGTGTGTGTTGCGTTTAGAGCTGGCTTTTGTACTTTCACCTGGGGCTTACCGAGAAGGAACGAAGTGTAGAGAATGACAGTTCGGCGCGTCTTTCTAAGCTGAGACTTGATCTATGATGAAAGAATGGCCGAAAAGAGTGAAGTTGAAATATCGCGAGTTGACTGCCGCAGAAGGATCGGAAAAGACGCTGGTGATGGTGGTGTGAGACAGGGTTCAAACGACAAAGTCAGCGCAGCGCAAGGTCTTTAACCTCCTGCTGAAATCGAATCAAAATGTCTACTATTGAAGAAAAGAACACTGCAGGTGTAAGTGTGTTGAAACGGAAAGAAGTTGAGTTGATAAGGCAGTTTCAGACTCATGAATGAGCTTCGCAGTTGCCTCGTTCTTCTATCTTAGATGCAGTATTTTCTCACGGAAGGAGTAGTTGAGTTATGTAGAACAGAAGGAGCCCATTCTGAGACCGATTCTGCCGTGAGAGTGCCGTCTCACGAGACGGGAGGCTGTGATACGGAATTGTGATACTTCCGCCACTGTTGGACCAACATTCTGAAGTTCAAAGAAGCTTAGCTTTGAAATGTTAGGGCTGACGATGAGGCTTTCCAGAATCGTTCCACTATGGGATTGGTGTAAGGTGACCTCAACCCACGTTTTCTAGTCATGCTAGCTTCGTACGAGCTCAGAATGAACTGAACCATTTCCCTTCCGGATGGACATCGTCACGATGTCTGTCACTTTCACAGGTGGCTTACTGCTGTCTCTGACCATGTACGACGATGGCGCTGGATCGTGCGTCCCGAAAGAAGCCCGTCAACTTGAAGAACAAGCTTTGTGCGCCCGCCAAAGGCCGTTTGCTTCCCGCTTTTCATTATGCAACATTGACGCTGATTAAGGACAGGCTCATACAAATAACATTCTACTGCACGTGAACATGCAACGTATGACACTGGTGAAGCTGCTTGAATTGGCGAAGAGAAAAGTTTCATTAAACGCGGCAAAGGTTGTACCATGCGCCGCTGAGAGCTATCGACATCAAATAGCCCGGCTTAGGAAGACGCCAACTGCGTAGCTGCCTTAGCATACAACGTAACGGTGATGGCGATGCTGGCAAGCCAAGCGAGACTTCGCAGGGGGCCGAAGCTACGGTTGTCCTGCAGGCGGACGTAGATGATGTTGTACAGGGCCCTGGAAGCGATGTAGCCCAGTGTCAAGACGTTAACGGTCTCGGCGTCTACCCTGGCAAAGTTGGCGGCGACCACGGCGGCAGAGTAGAAGCCGAGCGTCTCAAAGGCGTTCTCCGATGCGGCCTTGGCGCGGAGAATGCGGGCTTTGGCCTAGAGATTTCGCAGCCTCGTGTAAGATGATGGGCTACGGTATCTGGGGAGGAGGGCAAGGTCCCCTCTGAAAGGAAGGGTTGCTGTTCTTACAATCTTGTCTAGCTTGTCATCGGCCACGACACTAGTTTGGAGCTTTCTCGGGTTGCAGAGGTCGTAGTGTGCTCCTGCTCCGGAGACGGCGTAGACATTGGGCAGCATCGCCATGATAAAGGCGGCCGGAATCTGGACGCGAGGTTTAGCCTGGTGGTCAAGCTACATCGCTTATGGATACTTTACTGACAGTGTAAAGGGAGAGCCCCTTTTGGGCGAGGTCCAGACCGAAGAAAGACATGTTGGCGGCGGTGCTTGAATGTCACGTTGAGCGATGTTGGATGAGTTGGTTCACACAATGTTTTCACTTGGATGGTGAGGAGGCACGGAGGGTAGTTGTATGACTACACTAAGGCACGGAGTTGACCCTTTCAAGATCGGAAGGACGGCGCGAGTTAGAGCCCGACGGGACATCTAAAGAGAGACACGAACTCGGGGAGGAGGGGGTTGCGCCGAGGCAGTCCGGTCGCACGGGTTGCTCCGAGTTGGGAAACCAGTACGGCACGGTTAGTATGGGGGCCTAAAGGGACAGCTACCTGTGAGAGCTACGCACAATAGTCTTCCCGCACTTAGTTGACAAGAGACGGGGCCGCGGGAACGCTGCCCACATTGGGACCTGGTTTGGCCGAGTGGTGATGACAGAGTTACAACAAAAATTCGCATCGTCGAACGGGGACTGCAACATTCGATTGGCCAGCTACAATTTCCCCCCTCTACCCCTGTTGAAAGGCAAGGGCGAACTCGTGGAGTGGGAATCGTGATGTCACCCGAATCGGCATTTCATAGGCACCGACCAATCCGATGCTGTTTTCTTGCATAACTTTGCAGGATTTAACGTTGTGTAAGAAACAAAAAAGCCGGGCCTGTCATTGGGCCGCTGGGGGGACGGAATAGCATCAAGCAAACCAGACACAAAACTTCCCACTGCGGATTTCTTTTCACCGGGCTGTGTGTTTGGGTGATTTGGTGCGCCCACACATGTTTTGATTTCAGCCTCCATGTTCAACGTGATAAGGAATAAACATCGCTTAACTCATTGTCGTTGAATCTCTCTCTTTGATTATTTCTCTCTGTGTGTTGTTTCCGATACCTGCGGGGGAAGCTCAAACAAGCTACCGACGTCCGTTTCGTTTCTCTTTTCAGAGTTCTCTTCTGAGAGAATGCGATGTCTTGGCAGACGCACAATCTGGAACCTGCAAATTCAACCTTCCGGAACGGATCAACTACGCCCTCTCACAATCGAATCTTTGGCAGCCTATGAGATGAGCCTCTCACCCAGAGTGTTCGCCAGACTCACGGCAATCGCTTTTTATGAGAAGTCTCTCAAAGAGCATGATTACCTGCTCATTTGAATGCCTTCTCAATATCACCAGATACAACCTGCGCTCGATGGCTGCACTGAACTGATGATAAGTCACTCATCGACGAACAATGAGAGTGAAGGTCTTACTGAAAGTGCACGAGCGCCATACCCAAAGCATGTCGCATTCAACGAGCCAAGCAGTTCGATGGAGTGCAGGATGAGTATTAGCTGACTGTCTTATGAGAGGCACTTTGTGGCACACGAACGACTAACAAACATGAATTGTACGTTCCCGAATGAGAGAACCTTTTCAAGTTGCTGACTTTTCCTCTTCCAGCGCGGCAACTCGGAGGTATGCGACTGACTCGAAACTCACGAACCTTTTTTAGCAGAGCTTGCCCCGCGACTCCGCGACGAGACTATTGAATTCGGGTGTGCGCTGGGCTTTGGAGTTTTTGGGACGAGCACTCACAAAGCGTCCATGGGCCCCGACTCATGCTCCAGGTCTTATCCTGGTTGCCCGACTTCAAGATTGTCGGGCAACGGTCATCAGAAAGTTGCTTTGCTCGCCAACGTTCATCGAATCAAGTGATTCTGGAGTCGAAAATTTCGTCTCATTAAGGGCCAGGTGCGATAGGGTGTTCATCTCTATGGTCCTCAAGTGAGGTTGGAAGATGAGAATTGTCATCATTTACACTGCGCCGGCGTCTTCTCACGGCCTGTTGGTGCTGTGATCGACAGCGATGACGATCTCCCAAAGGCAGAATAAACGAAATCTTCCACCACTACCCAGCCCGACAGCTTTCCAGCAAAGAAAGTCGCATTGCTGGAAGCGAGCCTCGCAGGCAAGGGCCCCGAGGCTGGAAACATCAAGAGTGGGCTCTTCATGCCTGCGACCAGGTAAGAGGCGATGGCAGAAGAGAGAAAAAATAAAGCTCCAAGAGTCCAAGCCCGGGCATCCTGGGTTTCTGGGACTTCCAGCATCCAAGCAAACAGCAAGCGCAAGACGCTTGCGCCGGTGGAATGTGACCACAGCAGGGATGCTGATGAGATTGGATGCCAGACGGACCACACACAACGTGGGAGAATTTGGGTTGGTCTAGACGAAAACAGCATGGCGGCAAGAATATGCACACACTCACTCACTGACTGATTCATCGAGCGGAATATGTCGCCAGCCAGCAGCGGCAGAGCAGACTTAACTGGTAGCAGCACACTTTGGCCTGTTCAGCGGTGTTCCATCTGGTTCTGATTTCAACCATCGGCAATCCAATGTGCATATTGCTAGGTATTGCAGCAGAATGGGTGGGAGGGAGCCTGGGGAAGTTTTTGAGACTCGAAGGTACTTACTTACAAGCGCCTTATCACTTATGCAGCCACTCACCACCTTAGGTCCTAACGTATGAGAGCGAGAGAGACACCTGTCCCCAGCGACATTGAAAGACCTCATCATCTTTTGATGTGCGGACGGGCAAAAGGGCGGGTGCAATGCACCGGCGCTAGAAAAGGAAAAAAAAAAAAAGCACTGAACACTTCAGGTCGTCCCCAGGTCTCCAAGTTACCCCCAACAGACAGACCTGATGGGCAGACACATCCATCAAACTGCTGCAAGGAAGCGTTGCTGCGTAGCCTGAGTGCGCCGCAAAAAGTTGGAGGGTCCGGTCCAGGCGTCCCCATTGGAGAGACTATCTGGCGTGAGAGATTACCGCACTGTACTATCTCCTTTTTGCCTCCCCCGGTCTTTCATCTTCGCACCGCCCATTCCCCTCGGCTTTCTGTTAAAGACGGATCCATGGCCTCCTCCCAGGCACAGTGTCCAGATTCTCCGATAACAAATAATTTTTCCCGGGGTGTCTATCAACCCCCCCAATCTAGCAACTGCCCATCAGCCTGTGACTTCCAGAATCACCACCCGTCCAGCGGCGCCCGTAGACCGACAATTTTCTGGTCGACCATCCACGACGGAATTCAATCGCGATCAATTGCCACCACGCACCACCACCACTTTCATCACTTTTGATCGTCGATTTCATCTCCCCAACGCGAGGAAATCATTGTCGACATCCCGTTTTTGCCCAAAACGGATGTCGCGGCAGCTCATGACATGACTGAGGTCGGGCCTGCCGACCGCTCCAGGCTTTTGCGATCCAAACGCGATGAATTTAGGTCAGTTACTGCATCGATCGGTAGAGCTTAATTGTGCGATTCCAACGATATAATTTTCGGCGTGTTGACATTTTTCAGTTCAATTGTAACGTCGAGGAAGCGGAAGCTCCGTCAGCTCTTCGCTGTCGCGACCGAGGGCGATGCACTCCCCACAAGCGACTTCGCGAATCCCGACGCGCCGCCAGCCACCGCAGCCGAAATCCAGTTCTTGCAAGGCTGCGATATCTCACAGTACGTTTCCCTGTTCTTCTCGCGCTTTTTTGAATATTTTTGGTCGCGTATGGCTCTGGTTGTTGCCGCTCGCCGCTTACACGACTTACAGAGGACGAAAGCTCAATGAAGCGAATCTTCCTGCTCGACCTCAACTGCGCTACGATGTCCTAAGACAGTCCCTCGATAACTCTGGCCTCTTTGCACCCGAGCCAGCGCCTGCTCCTCCCGCAAAGCAAGACGCTTCCCTCCCCGAGCCCCAAACGAAGAGCGCTCCTGCGCCGTCGCCAAAGCCGGCTGCAGCTGCATCTAGCGATCCGAATGGCGCTGCATCTTCACCTCGAACACCTGCGACCTTTACCCTTCCGCCCTCACTTCCACCAAAGCCCCCGACGCCTGTGCCTGCTGCGGCGACGCCGAATCGACCCGATGCTTCCAAGCCGCCCACGTTGGCTGCCTCAGGTCCGCCGCCGCCATCACCTGTAGTCGTGCCCACGAAGAATCCTTTGCACGCATCGCGACAAGATGCTACTGAGACAACAGGTGCTGCACTTGTCGAAAAGCCCGCCTCAACACCCCTGCGAGAAAACCCGAATGGCATCCCGAAGAAGACCGAACCACGAAAGGGCGATGCGCCAAATGATGCGCCTACGCAATCCGTTGTGAAGCCACCCGTCGCCCAGCTGCCCGCTCGTCCAGACTTGAAGAAGGCCGAGGATACGACCCCTGTGGCTTCCAAACCTCCAGCCGACTCAGCAAAGGTAGTCGACGGAGCTTCATCGCCAGGCTCAACGACGCAAACGGCCGCGACTCCCGCTGTGCATGATGTTTCGACTGATACGAGCCCCGAAAATGAAGGTCCTCAGTATGTGGAACGGCAGGCGACATCTAATGAGGGGGCGACAGCAGACAGTGCAGAGGAGGCCAAGGGAACCGAAAGCGGTGCTTCCCCTGATGAGGATTCGCTCAACGGCAGAATACCAGATGGGCCCGAAGCGCAGCTTCTGCAGGAGTCTATGGCGATGGGCTCTAAGCCAACACCGCCTGTGATCGAAACGCCCGCGAAGAAAGCTTCGTCTCCCACGACACCTGTGCTACCCGCTCCACCTGCGGTTGAACTGAACACTACAGAGCCCACCGCCGCAAAGGTCACTACACCAAGCGCGGCCCAGACTGCTGCTCCCACCGCCGAGCCGCCTACGGACCCGTTGGCCAAGGAAATTCCGGACAGCCAGGAGTCTCAGGCTCCTGAGAAGATGGATGTGGATCAACCAGCCGTGGACCAGTCTGGGGGAAAACCTTCCGTCGAGGTACAAGAGGCACCTGTTGGGCCCAATCATACAGAGACACAGACTCCTCAAGCTTCAAACCAGGCTCCACAGACGCCGCAGGATCCAGAGCGAGCGGTTACTCGAACAGCTTCTGGCACAATTCGACAGAAGTCGGTGGCCGAAATATTAGGAGGAACAAGCCCAGAGACTCAAGTGACTGCCAAAATGCCAGCAAGCCAACTCACACCTCTCACCTCCACGCCTCAGTCTCCGCCTTCGAGGCCAAAGACATTTGCCAACAAAAAGAAGGACAAGGAAAAGGCAAGAAACAAGCCTTCTGAAGTCGTGTTTGGTAAGCAGACCAAACGATCAGCAGACAAGTCTTTGGTGCCTAGCCAGCAGAAGCAAAGTTTTCTGCCGACAGACGACTATTTTACACCACTCTTTGTGCAAGGTTTTACGCAAACATCAAAGTGGATGAAGCCGATAGAGGTCATCCTCAACCAGTCTCACAAAACGGTTTCCACCCCAGATGCCTACGTCGCCATACAAGACAATCAGGCATGTCGAGTGCTTCGTCGTGTGTATCACCTGCAGCAGCATGACAAATGGTCATTGCGACAGCCAAAGAGGTGTCCGGAGCCTATCCGCCCGGAATCTCATTTGGATGTGCTGCTTCAAGAGATGAAATGGATGAGAACGGATTTCCGGGAAGAAAAGAAATGGAAACTTGCTGCTGCTCGGAATCTCGCGCACGCCTGCGCCGAATGGGTTGCTTCAAGTGAGGAAGAACGCAAGGAGCTCCAAGTGCCCGCGTACATTCCGCCCAAGGAGCAGCCAGTCCAGCCTGAGACTGAAGGCGATACATCCATGGCCGACATCTCGTTGGATGTGATCGATGCACACGCAACTCCCGAGCTGGTACCTTCAGGTGACCTGGATTCACCCGAACACGTCGAAGAGTTACGGGAGGAGATTCTTGAGACTGTAGCCCCGTCTGCAATCTTTGCTCTGGAAGATGACGACGTTGTTTTTGAGCTTCGAAGTTCACCGACCGCAGACCAGCTGCTGCAGGAGCTTCCGATGTACGGAACACCACTCAAGATCCCGGCGTTTGATTTCACTGTTCCCGAATTCGACCCCGATGCGCACTGGCGTCGCCCTGCTCTTCCTCTGAGCAAGTACGTGGAAGGCGAGATGAAGCTTTCTTCAGACGGACCCCCGAGAAAAAGGAGTCGATACCAGTATGAAGAGGAGGAGGAGGATGATGACGAAAAGGTCGTGTTCGGATCCCAGCCCGCAAAGAGGATGAAGTTGCCACCGCAGAATGCTGATGTGGCCCTATTCAACCCCGAAATGAAGCCCATCAGAGACCGTCTCCACGCCGGCCATCAGTTCCGCCCGCCGGCGGAATACCAGATGCCCATGCAAAGCTTTTACGAATGCCGCAGCCCCTCGCAATGGACTTTGGCAGAGGATGACGAGCTGCGAAGCCTGGTTCGCGAGTACTCATACAACTGGTCGCTCATTTCCAGCCTTCTCACGCCTAGATCCGTGTTCACATCCGGAGCTGAGCGGAGAACGCCCTGGGAGTGCTTCGAGCGTTGGATCAACCTGGAAGGCCTTCCGACGGACATGCAGAAAACGCAGTACTTCAAGGCGTACCAGAATAGGATTGATGCTGCCAACCGTGTCATCTTGCAGCAGAACCAGATCGCGCAGCAACAAGCTGCCGGCCAGGCAGCGGCGCCGACAACGCCGGTCGCAAGACGCAGACCGTCAACGCCGCTCAGGGTTGAGCGACGACGCAATCAGAAGCATCTTACGCTGATTGATGCTATGAGGAAGCTGGCCAAGAAGCGCGAGACTGCGGCCCAGAAGCAGCAACATGCCACCCAGATGGCAGCCATGCGAAAGGCGAACGAGGCCGCGCAACCCAGAGGACCCACCAAGACACCTAGGGATTACAGCTTGATGAGGTGGGAGCGCGACCAGCAACTTGCCGAGAAGGTGGCCCAGTTCCATCAGCGCCAGGAGGCTCAGAGACGCATCACCATGCAACAACGAGGTCAGGTTGCCGCCCAGATCGCTACGACACCCGCCGCAGGCCAAGCACCGGCAGGCGTCGCGGGTCAAGTCAACGGCAACATGGCTCGTCCCAATATGCCTAATCAGCTCGCTGTTCCGGGCCAAGCAGGCCGAGGTCGCATGCCCATGCAGGCTCCGACCGCCAATATGGGCGGGGTTCCTGCTCAGATGAGTGGCCTTGTGCCTCCCATGCCGATGAACGGGGCGCAGACGGCTCAGATGCAGGCGGCTCTGCAAGCTCAGCATAGGATGCCGATGCCCAACCCTCAGCCTGATGTTAATCTCATGATGCAAGCGCGGCGTATCTCAGAGCAGCAGCGACAGGCTGTTCAGCTACAACAAGCTCAACAGCAAGTCCAGCAACAGGTCCATCAACAGCAGCCGCAGCCGCAACACCAGCAGGCCCAACAGCAGCAACAGCAACAGCAACCGTCTCAGCAGCAGCAGCAACAACAGCAAATGCACCAGGGAACACCGACGTCTCATGCGTCTCAGTCTCACTCTCCGCCAAACATGCGGCCCGCGTCAGTCAATGGCGTCCACGGCGCCAACGGCGTCAACGGTGTCAACGGCGTCAATGGTGTGAACCAGCAGAGCTTCATTGCCAATGCTCAGGCCAATGCCCAAGCCATGATGGCATTCAACGCTGCTAATGGTGGCGGGGTGGCTACGTCTCCTGCTGGTGGTCTCCATATGCCCAATGGCACTTCGGGCTCACCTCGCCCTCTCACACAAGTGCCGCCGGGCATTCAGCAACAGCTTAGCAACCTGGAAAACCAATATCGGCTCAAGAACCCGACTTGGACACCTGAGCTCGTGCGACAACATGCTACAGAACACCTTACTCGCCTGATGATTCATCAAAGGACGACCATGTCGCAAAATGCCATGAATGCGGCTGCTGGCGGTGGAGGCGCTTCGTCTCCGGGTATTGCCAACGGCATCGCTGCCACGACCAGCCCGCATCAGTATGCTGCTCTTCTTAGACAGCAGCAGCAACAGCAACAAGCGGCAGCAGCGGCACAGAATGGTCAGGCTAAGAATGGGCAACACCAGCAAGCTCACCAACAGCACCATGGCCAACAACAGGCACAGCAACATCATCAGCAGCAGAATGGTCAACAGCAACATGTGCAGCCTCAGCATACTCAACACCAGCAGCATCAAGCGCGGCCTCAATCCGCACAGCCTCAGCACACGCCGCAGCCTCAGCAGGCTCAGCAGATTCAACGGCCTCAGTCAGCTCAATCGGCTCAGGCTCTCCACGCCGCACAGTTGCTCCAGGCCCAGAAGCTACAGCAAGCTCAAAAGGCCCAGCAGGCTCAACTTGCGCAGCAAGCTCAGAAGCAACAGCAGCCACAGCAACAGGCCCGACAGTCGCCACAGGTCCAACAGGCCCAGAAGGCGCAGCAATCGCCGCAAGTTCAGCAGGCTCAAAGAGCGCAGCAGTCGCCGCAGGTCCAGCAGGCTCAAAGGGTGCAACAATCACCCCAGGTCCAGCAGGCACCAAAGCCACAGCCATCCCCTCAGGTTCAGCAGGCCCAACAGCTTCATCAGGCACAGAAATCACCGCAGGTTACCCAGCAGGCTCAGCCGCCTCAGCCGTCCCAGCAGGCTCAACAGGCCCAACAGGCTCAACAGCAGACACAGCAGAAGGCTCATCAGCAAGTTCAGCAACAAGCCCAGCAGCAGGCACAGCAGCAGGCTCAGCAGCAAGCCCAGCAGACCCAACAGCCGCAAGCCCAGCAAGCTCAACAGCAACAGCAACAGCAACAGGCTCAGCAAGCCCAGCAAGCTCAGCAACAGCGCCAAGCCAGTGGAAGCGCTACACCATCTGCTACGCCCGCGCCATGAATGGGTACCAAGGGGGCGCGTTCACGGTTACATGAACGGCATCAAAATCACTATGCGAACAACGACATGAAGGTCTATCGAGAGTAGGAATACCAACCGCCAAGGACGTGGCGGGAGGACAGGCATTGAATCACCATGCCAAAGGAGGCGTCGCGGAGGTCGCGGATGGACTTGCCCGTGGGAGAAGAAGGGCACACACATCCTGCGTAGTCGTCGCACCGCTCGCTGGCCCCCTTAGTTTCTTTGGGAACTGTGGGTTCGTTTTCATCTCTTTCTTACCTGTTTCTCGCTATGAGTAGACGACGGCGTTACTGATTAGACGAGGGTTGGGCGGGGAACACGAGAGGGGGCCAAAGCGAGCGGTTTTTTTGCGAGCAGACGAAAAAAAACAACACCTTGTACATAGAAAGAGAACACACCATCCCACAATTGTGAGAGATTCTCGGCTTGGTTCTTCTTCCTTTTCCCCCCTTAACCCAAAGATGAGAACGAAAGCAACTTGGCACGGAAAACTAGGTTGTATATAACCACTTTGTAATGCCGAAGACGAGAGAAAAGAGAGGTGGCGGCGGCGGCGGCGGCTGCAGCAGCTGAGGGGATGATGGGACGAGAACTCATCTTACCTTTTGCTTTTTCTAGAGATGGGGAAAAGGGGAGCGAGCATTCGGCTGCCGACGGAAAAAGGCACAAGATGCAAATGAAAGAATTAAGAAAGTTTTAACAAAGATACCTCCACTTCATACCCTGTTCGTGTGAGATACTATGGATTATGACTCAAGTGCAGCCGTCACCTATTTCACATTGACAATATATGTTCAAGTAAATTTTCTCTTTTTCATCAAAGTTTTGCCAGCTGAAATTTCTCATGGCCGCAGGCTACCTGCGGCCAAGCTCTCTATAACATTATGCGCCCAAAACGCCCGTTTGAATGCGACTTTACACTTCCTGGCATCGCCTCGGAGTGCGTGCGTGCGATACATGAACACGTGTCTAAAAGCAACAGGAAAAATAAAACCCAGCAAGCCCGCCCTTCCCTTCCCTTGATGACATATACAGAGAAAGAAATGACCATGGAAACGAAAGCCACACGCCATTAAGCGACAAACCACTAGTCCTAGACCGCACCCGGCCCGGAGCCAGAGCCATTGCCGCGGGTGTTGCCGTCAAGCAGTAACGTCGGCTTGATGTAATCCTCGTCCAGCTGCCTGAACAGACCCGCCGCGTCCTCGGCCCCGTGGCTGAAGAGCTGTCTGATGGCAGTCGTCGCTGAAACGTGGTGAGGCGCCACCGAAGTTCCGGCGGCAGGCTCGGTCTGCGCGAGGAGACCACCGGCAGAAGATCCGGTCGCCTGCGAGGCTCCAGGCGTGACCATTGGGCTTGTGCGACGCGGGTCCCGACGGGCTGGGGGCGGGAGGTCCGACGTGTCGATATCGCTTCCTAGGTCCGAGTCCGTCGTGTTGCCGCTCCGTCCCAGCAGATCAGACCTCTCGATCTCCGAATTCTTGCGACTGAGACTCGATTGTCTCTTGACCGGGTTCGGCGAGTGCGAGCCCGAGACATAGCTGCTGCGTTCGGATCCCACCGTTGGCCGAGCGCCGTTGCGCGAGGAAATGTTGTCCAGCGACAGGCTGCCGTTCCGCCTAGGATTATATCCGATGCCGGTGCTATTGCGCTTGACATATTGTCCGCCGTTAAACGACTCGATATCGAATTCGTCGTCACTGTCAATCTCATCGACGACCCCAGTGCGGATTCCTTGGATCTCCAGCATACGCGCCGTCGTGCCGCCAAAGATGATGACCGTTAGCACCACAACCACCAGGACGGTGGCTTTGAGCGCGTAAGAGTTTTCGCCAGTAAGAAGTGCAGCAAGAGCGACCCCGACAGCCCCACGCAAACCAGCCCAGAAAAGCATCGCCTGATAGTTGTAGGGCAATTCATCGCTCACCTCTCCTCCGCCCCTTCGGCGAGCCCTGTAGCGAATGACCCAGTTGATGAGGCGAGACAGGGGGAATACCGCTACCCAGCGAGCAGCGCAAACAGCGCAAACAGTAATGATGATCAGCAGCGGTCGGAACTGCAGCGCATTATCTGTGAACAGCGCTAGACCGAGGTAAATGAAGATGAAGTTCTCTGACAGCTGCGCAAGGATCTGGAAGATGAACTTGGTCGTAAGCTGGGTCCGACGAGACATGTTGAAATAAGCGTAATGTTTCAGCGTTATACCGCAGAATAGCAATGAGACAATGCCTTGGATGTTGTTAGCAATATGTTGATGCAAGGCAGGGAACTATTGAGGATCTTACCAGACATGTGGATGCCATGCGAGAAGAAGTAGGTAGCATACGCGATCAACACAACTAGACAACTCTCGTTCTTGGGGTATCGTCGAATGTAGGTGAGTTTCAAAAGCAATGCCGTCATAACTCCGACGAGCACACCAATCAACAAACTTCCAAAGAAGACGATCAAGAAGATGCCGATACCCTCGAAGAAGCTCAAAACGCCGAGCTTGGAGGCATCGCCTTTCTTGTACTTTTGCGCCGTCTCGAAAATAACAATAGCAATGGCGTCGTTGAGGATCGATTCGCCAAAGATGATGGTATACAACTTGGGGTCCACCTTGTATGAGTTGAAGATGGCCAAGATAGTGACAGGATCGGTGGCCGACAGGGTCGCGCCCACAGAGATGGCGTCGACGAAGGACATGCTTATAGACTCGACTCCTGTCAATGCATAGAGCCATAGAATGAGGCCGATGACGACAGCTGACAGAAAGGTTCCGGCAAAAGCGAACGTCAGGATGGTGCCCATATTCCTAAAGAAATTGGCCTGGTGTAACTCGTAACCGGAAGCAAGGATGATCGGTGGTAGTAGTAGGTTGAAGAAGATTTGGTAGTCGAAGCTAATGAGGTTTCGGATCGAATCGCCAGAGGTCACGAGCAAGAGCAGTCCCACAGTCATTCCTACGGCATGCGTTAGAAGCCATCGCGTACTAATTTGATAGGCGACGGGGACGAACCTGCAAAGATGGAGATGACCGTCTCGTGGACGGCCTCAATCTTCCTCTCTTGGAGGAAGTAGCTCGTCAAGAAGGCTGTAATGAGTAGCATGATGGAAATGAATAGCGCCCATGCGGCGAAGATCTCCTTCTGTGAGCCATCGGAGCCTGGATGACTTGCAGTCAGTCGCAATGGTCGGGAGCGCAAGGGCTGAAGGGGATCTGGTTGGTACTTACCTTCAGGGTCGCCCTCTTCGGCGGCACGTTCTGGCAAAACAAAGTCAGCTTACGCAGCCTCGAGGCCTGCGAGAGGCAGAGCGTTAACATGCAACATACGGACAAGGCGCAAGGCCGTTCCCGCAATATCCGTCGCGGATATCATATCGTAATGGCGGTTTCGCGACGATGTGGTTGTTTATGGGTTGGTGACGGAGTAGGATCCAGAGTCGAGAGGAAAGCTGGGCGACCGGCGGCTCGCGGGTGAGCTCCGAGATGGGCGGATGGCGATCATCAACAGGGCAGCTCGTCGTCCTACGCCGCAGGGTTGTGAGCTGACGACGAGAGTCTCTGGGTCGGTAGCTCTTTTCGAGATGTCGCCGAGTTTGAATGCCAATGCGGTCGAAGGACAGGCAGACTTTAGCAAAAGGCCAGTTCTGATGTAAGGTTCGTAGAGGTGTCCACTAGAGGTACAGACAGATGCAGCGCAGGTCGACAAGCAGGACGGGACGGGAGCCAGCCACTGGTCGGAGGCTGCAACACTGCGCAATGGCAGGAAGTGGCTCTGGAGCGATGCGGTGATTGGATGGGTGCTGTTTGACGGGCGGTTTTGCTTGCGTAGCCTCGGCGGGGTGGTAGAGTTACAATCGAAAGCGGGCGCGTGTCACTAGCTGATGGCGGAAAACGCAGCGCCAAGCGCAGATCTTAAAGTACCGGGTACTGCGGGCCCAGGCGATGTTAGCCTGTATCCGTACGGATAGTGTAGGGTATAAGGTAAGGTATGGTAGCTCGGGGCCGAACCCGGTGAGACGGAGTGGTGGACACGTCGAGGATTGGGTGCCTTACCTTTCGGCCACTTAAATTCCGATAAGACTGAATGTGCCGTTTGTGTCAAAATGTGACTGTTATTCTACTTCTTCTCTTGTATTGCATGAATAGTTGCTGTGTTGCATATCATACCTTGATGCATAATGAACGTCAGCAGCAAGGAGTGCAGTCCACCTCATGCAATGGAAGTGGTAGGAAGATTGGGCCGAGCTTGGCCGCTGCCTGCAGGAAGCATGACTTCATTTGACACGGCACGTGCTCGTGAGGACCAGTTGAGGTCGACGATGAGGTGCCCCACCATGGGTCGGATTCTATGTACAAAGTAGAACTCGGGCAATTACTGGGCCCAACACAGCTGAGCGAGCACCTCCATGGGCAGGCAGTAGGGTTCCATGCCACCCATTGTGGCATTGCATTGCCTACAGACGCAGTAGGGTAAGCATCGTGGGATCTGCCCTATTGTGTACGGGTTCTCCGCAAAGTGAGAAAGGCCCATTGTTTTCCCCAGCTTCCATGTCCGCGGGGGCCGTAAAAAAGATCCAGTGGAAACAGTTGTAGGGACCATCCAAGCTGAGGGTGTTGTGGATGTGGACTGCCGGTAAGACATCTGACACTTGAGGGTGCTGTGGCAGGACTTGTTGGGAAAACCGGGGTAGCACTTGATCAAGATCCCTCGTGAGGGCTCATCAGCCGGATGAAGGGCACCGTCAGCCGGAGACGGCTGTTCTACCACACGCAGAGACACGGGGTTGCGATCCGAGGGGGGGGCCAGATGAGTGAGATAGGCAGATGGTGAGATGGTGAGGTGGTGCCCTATCGTACCTGACTTTTGCCTGAAGATGGCGTATGCAGCGACCACACGAGGCCTACCCGTGTCTGTCTATGTTGTTGTAATTTTTGTCAGAGAGCAAGTACCGGTGGAGGATCCTATGCACGCCCATCAAGTCTGTTGTGTTTTTAGTGTTCTCTGTCCTGGTCTATTCCCATTCTGATTTTTTCCCAACCGTGAGGTGATGAAATAGCAACGTCGGTGTGCAGATTGTCTATCCCGGGTAGCAGCAGCAACCCATGCAGTCCAAGCCCAGGTAGGTACCTAAGAAAGGCGGGCGTTTCGTCTGGGATAACTACCTCAAGGTTGGGAAGTCGGGACTGGAAGATACCCCTAAAAAGATAGGAGGAAATGTAGCGGCCCAGCATCTCAGTACTCGGTGGAGGTGAAGGAGCTACGGGCATGACGTACTGAGTGCGGGGGCCACCCCGGGAACAGGCCAGGAAGCAAGGTCGACGGGTGTCGCTCTCTTTCACCGTCTCTGTGCGATGCCATCGCGACTTGGGCCGTCACCTCATGCCCATAGGCAGTGTGTGTTAGACTCTCGGCCCCGCCATTTTCCTGTCTTTCTTTCTTCCGTCTTCTTCTCTTTCGCCCTTCCCTCTCGTCCGTTCCAAGCCATCTCTTCTCCTCTCTTCCTCATCCGGAACCCGCGCCCTACTAGCCGTGGAAAATCCCATCAATTCCACCACTCAACTTGCTCGGAACCAGGCGAATAAATAATAACATCTCCTTTCCCTTCCCTCCCCCTCACCATCTCTTTTCAACGTTGCATGTGTCTCGACCATCAGTTGCTCTTCCTTTTCGCCACGTGCAGTCTTTATCCATCCGACCACGCCAACCTAACCTGCCCGAGGTCGCATTTAGCTGCTTTCCCCGTCCAGTCTCAGGCTCCCTAGGCCATCAAGCAAAGAGACGGATCGAGACAACGCTTCAGTCCGTTCACCATCAACACCAGTTGTATTCGTATCTCATTCGCCTCTCTCCGCCAGTTCATCTGCAAATTCGCCCCTGGTTCTATCTGCCACTGCCAGCAGTCCCAAGACGGTGCATTTGGCTGCCGCTCTCCCGCTGTCCGCTACATTGCTTGTCGAGTCGAGACTCGGAACCAGGCCTATTCTTACCCTAGTACTAGGTACTCGGACATCCAGGCGCAACCCTAGCACACCACCTCAACAGACGGTACAGCTCCTCATTTGCCCTCGCCTGCATCGAACCGCATAGCCTGGGCTCGAATCAGGAACCGACCTGCACCAGACAGTTGGTCATTCAGCCAGGGCGCAGTTTCCAGCCCAGCGAATGACGCACACTCCTGCCACCGCTCTGTCATCGTCAGAAATCGAATCACCTTGTACCAGCAGCCCGTGTTCGGGGGTCTCGTGGCATCCTCCTACTTGACCGCGTGACAACACAACTTCTTTTTCTGCCCAACCCGGCAACGAACAAACACTTGTCATTGCCATTGCAAATTCGATCCGCCATTTATATACTCTTCTGTCGCCTGTCAATTAGCCGACCCAGTCCAAAGGTTCGTCAGTCAATCGATCGAGCCGACCTCCCCGCATTGAACGAACGCTTCCCCAGCTTGCCCCGCTAGTGGGCCTGTCCGAAATCGACTTTCCGAATCGCTTCACTTCCGAGTCGTCGCGGCTTGACGCTCAACGACCGAAGAGATGCCTTCATCTCAGTCTCAGTCCCCCAGGAGGGGCCGTCCGATGCCATCAATCGCCCAGAGCACCGAATCTGCACCGTCGAATCCCAAGGAGAGAGGCGTACGCAGTGAGCGATCGCCGCTGCTCTCCTCCAACAACGACGATGAAGGCTACTTTGATCATCATGCGGTACTGGCAGCGCAGCAGGAAGATACACAGCAAACCAAGAGCGTATGGTACCTGATTCTCCTGACCATTAGTATCGGTGGTTTGCAAATCGCCTGGTCTGTCGAGTTGTCCAATGGGTCTCCCTATTTGCTATCCCTTGGATTGAGCAAGTCGCTGATGGCCCTGGTGTGGATTGCTGGCCCGCTTACCGGCACCTTGGTTCAGCCCTATGTCGGTATGCTCAGCGACAATTGCCGACTCTCGTGGGGCAAGCGGAAACCCTTCATGGTTGGCGGGGCTATCGCGACTATCATCTCTCTAATGTTCCTGGCATGGACTAGAGAAATTGTAGGTGGTATCATGAGCCTCTTTGGCGCTGATGTCGAATCTGTCGCCGTCAAGAACACCATTATTTGTGTGGCCGTGGTGGGCATTTACGTCCTCGATTTCGCCATCAACACCGTGCAGGCTTCTATTCGAGCTTTCATCGTGGACTGTGCTCCGGCTCACCAGCAAGAAGCTGCCAACGCCATGGCGAGTCGCATCACCGGTTTCGGAAACATTGTCGGCTACATTGCTGGCTACATCAACCTCCCTACGTACCTTTGGTTTTTGGGTGACAGCCAGTTCAAGGTGCTATGCGCCATCGCCAGCATTGCCCTTGCGGCGACTATTGCAGTGAGCACCACGTTGATCAAGGAGCGCGACCCTCGACTGGAAGGCCCGCCAGCTTCGGGCAAGCCTGGTGTGTTCTCCTTCTTCGGCAAAATCTTTAAATCAATCAAGCGTCTGCCGCCTCAGATCAGGAGGGTTTGCCAAGTCCAATTATGCGCATGGGTCGGCTTTTTCCCGCTTCTTTTCTACACCTCCTCGTATATTGGTGAGATTTATGTTGAGCCGTACCTGGAGGCTAATCCCCACATGACGCCGGAGGAACTCGATCAGCTATACGAAAGAGCAACTCGTATCGGAACCTTTGCTCTGCTCATCAATTCCGTCGTCAGCTTGCTTACGAACGTCTTTCTCCCCTTTTTCGTCGCACCCACCTACGACAGTCAACCACTTGGTGATCTCCCAGGAGACAGTGACAGTGGAGAGTTCGGTGATGAAAAGGCGTCTTGGTTGGATCGCCTGCAGATCCCCGGGTTCACCCTAAAGCGGGCTTGGTTTGCATCTCTGATTCTCTTCTCGGGCGCCATGTTCTGCACCGTCATTGTTCGTACGGTAGAAGCAGCCACGGCCTTGATCGGTTTGGTCGGAATTACCTGGGCAATGACACTTTGGGCACCCTGGGCCATCATCAGCGCTGAGATCAGCCGGAGGGATGCAAAGATTCGCCAGAGAAAGCAACGGCAATTCAGCCCCAGCAGAGGCGATGGCCCGGCGTCGCCCTCCACCGTCGACTCTACCGCCGACTCAGACCAGACCGATTTGAGCGACAGTGAGGAGGCAGACCAGGCCGGCGTCATTTTGGGCATTCACAACATGGCCATCGCTGCGCCCCAAATCATTGCCACCGTCGGATCCAGCATCATCTTCAGAATTTGGCAGAAGCCTCGCGGTACTCCAGGCGATCACTCCATCGCTATCGTATTGGCCCTCGGCGGTATCGCTGTGCTTATCTCTTCCTTCTTCGTTGCGAGCATCAAGGAAAGCGCCTCCTTGCCAGCAGACGCCATGGTCGCGGCC